CATCCCGTCTGTTACAACGTCTACGGAGAGTTCCAAAACAAGGAGCTGTACCAAAAGGCCTTCTCCACCGAGGAAAACCGAACCAAGTTTCTCCGATGGCGTATTCAGCTGTTGGAGCGCAGCATCAGGAACCTGGACTTCACTCCTGGAGGCATCAACACCATCTTCCAAGTCAATGACCTCAAAAACTCTCCTGGCCCTGCCAAACGGGAACTTCGCATTGCCACCAAACAAGCTTTGCAGTTGCTTCAGGACAACTATCCCGAGTTCGTTGCCAAACAGGTTCGCTTTTGCTTTCAGTTCCTTCCTTGCTTCCTCCGTTTCTATTTTACAACCTCTAACAGAAGGGATAGGGATCGTGTAGGTCTTCATCAATGCCCCTTGGTGGTATCTTGCATTCAATACCATGATCAGTCCCTTCTTGACTCCGAGGACCAAAAGCAAATTTATCTTTGCTGGACCATCCAAGTCTCCCGATACTCTTTTCAAGTTAGTCACAGCTCAACTCTACTCAACAATAATCACCATTGCCATCTTCTCTTTCCCACTATTTCATATTCTCTTCTCTCTATTATCATCTAACCTTCCTTATCTCTTTCCTAAAATTGAACAGGTATATTTCTCCTGAGCAAGTGCCGGTTCAGTATGGTGGCCTCAGTGTAGACTTCTGCGACTGCAACCCCGATTTCACCATGTCTGATCCTGTCACCGAAATTCCTATAAAGCCAACCACTAAGCAAACTGTCGAAATTGCTATCTATGAGGTGGGTTTCATTCTAATATTCTTTTAACTATATTATACTGGACTAGATTCTGTCATGCTCCTGTATTATTACTCTCTGAACTTAAGTATCTCGCTGAATGGAGTCACTCGATTTTCTAGAAATGCATTATCGTTTGGGAGCTGCGGGTGGTGGGCTGGGAGGTTACCTATAACGCTGAATTCAAGCCTGATGCTAAAGATGCATATACAGTTGTCATACAGAAGGCCACAAAGATGTCCCCCACCGATGAACCAGTGGTTTCCAACAGCTTCAAAGTTGGTGAACTGGGGAAGTTATTGCTCACCATAGACAATCCTACCTTGAAAAAGAAGAGGCTTCTTTACAGGTTCAATATCAAACCCTACTGTGATTGATCGAAAATCACCTCTAGACTCTCCGGTGTATTCGGTACTTGGAAGAAATTTAACTTCAAGAGTGAGAAATATGCAATGCATGTTGCCTTTTGTTCTGCCCATTCTTCGTCTATAGTTTTGTTCGTGAGTCGTTTGCAGATTGTCTTTTTCTAGTCTAAATTGTTCTTTTATTTTCTGGTGATGAACAATATTGAGGAAGAGAGTAGCACATGGAATTGAAATTAAAGTTGGTTTGTGAAAACACATTTGTTACCAGAACTATGTACCACTTTGATGGGTGAGCCAAACAACACGTAGGAAGGAAGTCTGCTTGTTAGAAGTTTCAATGTAAAATTTTGTTCCTGTACTTATCTGGTGTGGAGTTTGGTTTTGGCCCAATTCTGAGCATTTTGCATGTCATAGATTGTAATATAGAAGGAGTAAATGAGAAGTATGATTGATTTCTCTATTTTCTCTCTTGCTTAATTCTTCATTTTAATGTTTTTCTATTTGATTTTCATTCTATTATTGAAAGATATTAAAAGTGTAATTATTTCAGATTGGTTACTTTTGGTTGAATATTGCAGAGGATGCTTCTGTTTTTCTTCTTATCTGTGCAATTACACTTTGTTTGGTGATATTTTGGTTCTTCTTTGTTATTCTTGATTTTTTATGCTGTTTTACCTGAGGACTGTAACTGGTTGAGAATGTACTTTTATCAATTGGAATTGACTTCTCCAAAAGACCATGTACATTAGAGGGTAAAATATAGAACGATGACTGTTGGCTGAAAAAATGTTTGATATTTTAACTGCCTAAATGATTATATACACACATATACATGTAATTTTCATTACAGTATTTTGTCATCTCTTTTCTTATATGGAAAGAAGTGACCAATCAAATGTTGAACAATTATATAGGGTTAAATTCCAAAAGTAGCTAATTTTCTTCCGTCTAGGCCCCTCTAATAGCACAGGCTGTGTTTTTGTTCTTTATGCCTTTATCATGCATGACTATGGGGGGGAATAGATGCATTTATAGATTCTTATGATTACTGAATTGGTGCTTTTTTTATTTTAAAGTTTCCGTGATTGATGTTTACGTGTTTATGTTTGTTTAAACTCATATAGCTGATGAAAAATGGGAAAAGTTTAATTCTTTTAACTTGGAATTCTTAAAGAAAGCCGAGGTTACATGATTTAGGGGTTTTTGGTTTGTCTGTCATTGTCCTCTAGGTGAATTTGGAGTTGTTGTTTAACCCTTATATTAGTTTGACAAAATTTAGTACATGAGTGTATACTTAAGATTAAGGTACTTAACAATAAATTTTATGGATAATACACATCAATAATACAAGTGTCTCTCTATATGACTCCCACTCTCAATTCCAAGTTAGGTAAAAGGTCCAAAAGAAGTTGGCCCATATTTGAATGATATTTTTGACAAGTTATCTATATGCTGCAATTTCATTGGTTTTGTTGATTTTTGATAACTACTTTTTTTGTGTGAACTAAGGGTATGCATAATTTGACAGTTAGAGAGTAATTATTTTCAAGTCTCAACATAGTTTTTTCCATGCATACTACTTCGAACTAGATTTCATCATTACTGATTATTTCAGTTCTAATAACATTTAATTCGTTTATAAGTTTGTGTGTTTGTTTGCCTAATTCAATCAATTAAAAAATATCGTTATTTAAATAGTAAGTTAGTTTAACAATTAATTATTATTAGCTTATAAGTTAATTTAATATATTTTAATGAATGGTTTGATTAAAGTTTGACTTTTTAGTTAGTTTGTCAGTATATTTTTACCTAGTAAACACAGTTCACAAGCCCAAATTATTTGTTTGGTAATGGGCACAGAGCGGATAAATTTAATTCGGTTGATTGAAATAAAAAGAAAGTGAATATAACTAATGTTCTTCTACTTTATCCATTCCTTAAATTTACTTCCTTTCTGTTCAACCAAACAATTTAATCTTTGTCGGTATGAAAGGTTCGTAGGTTTGGATGTTAACATTGATGTAATGTAAGTTAATGAATCACTCGTGTGCTAAGGTTGTCCAGAACAGTAATAATTGTTACCATCATTTATACTTTGAAATCAATCATTACCTTCTGCAACACTTTCTTCCTTTCTCACTGCTTCCACCTAACTTCAATATATCCATCTCCAGCTACTTTTGTTTCTAGCAAAACCAATAAGATTTTAACCCATACATTTCATATAATGGACAAGATGTAAGCAAACAAATTAGGTTAACAGTTTCCAAACTTGAAATTTTGAAATATGAAAATATAAACACGTCCGAATTAGGAATGTAATTCTAAAAATGTTCTTTCACCTATACTTTTTAGTTTTTTACTGTTTTACCTCGTTTTTCTTTTCAAATGATTAAACAGCTGAAATAGTTCAACTTTAATGAAATAATTAACTGTGATTTTTTAAGATTAACTATTATTGGATATTTCCTTTTGAAGAAAATTGTTTTATTGTAAGTGGTTGTTATACCAACCTGTGATTTATTGTTAAAGTTATATAGAGAATGGGAAAGTTATTAAATTGAAAAGAAAGGAATGGGTTGGTTGAGCTTTCAAAGTTTTGGTGGAACGTGTATCTATCTGGGGTGGGTGACATTTTGTTCTTTCTTCTTTTGCTTCAATGATGGATTGAGTGTGTAACATTACCAACACATGTCTGTAATCATTGTGTTTGCTTCCAGCTGTTACCATCATCCATTCTTTGCTTTCCTTTGCTTTCATTCATTCCATTTTTGTTCTTAATAAAGCAAATTTTCAGTTCAGTTGTACATAATAAATCTCTCTTTATATTTTCAAATCCTTATAATTCAATCCCTCCAACTGCTACATAAGTAAAATAGCACTGTTCTATTCCAATGCATTATGTATAATGATAATTTTCTTTATTTTAATGTATCTTCATTTTCTGATTAACTCCTCAATATATAATGTGATTATTTGTCAGTGAATATACTCTCCTTTTAGTTCTACCAATTTTGAGTTCCCAATTTCTTTTTTCACCACATTAATTATGAGCTTATGGATTCTAATTTGAGAGAGCCCATATTAACATCACATTAGACTTTTGCTTTGGATCAAAACCAATGTATGGTGCAACACAGGAGGGTATTTTAGTCTTTTCAATTATAGTATAGAATGCAGTTCATAATCATGGGGTGCAGGAAGAAAATCCACAACTTTTTACCAAAGACATCACTCTTTCCTTTTTCGGACTTCCCCTCTCCAGCCCATTCATCAACGCTGAGACAAACATTATGAAGAACTTGCCTTGTTCACATCGTCTCGTGCTCGATTTTCGCTCATTGCAATGCAAGTTGCAAACCCACAAACTTTTTTATTTATCTATAAGAAAACTGATTTTATTAAAATTAATAAAATCCTTTTCTACTTCTCATATTATTTAATATAGCAAAAAAGAAGCCCAAATTGTCTTCAATTCTTCAATATACTTCAAATTGAGAGGTTGGGTGTTGACGAAAAGAATGAGTGTGGCAAGAGTTGGTGGTTGTCTGAGTAGAGGGGCCACCCTGGCGTTGGCGTTGAAGAAGAATTGAAGAGGAGAGAGACTATTGTTGCCGTCACAATCCAGATTAATTTTAATCTTACCAATAAACCAGATGAGGAAGTAGTGCACCATAGAAATGGTCTAAAAATAAGACTATTAAGAGTTTGAAAAGTAGTTTTAAGAATTCCAATACTTGATAACAAATTTCCATACACCAAATATAAAAATAACTCTTACAAATTTAATTCATCCATGCACAAAACAGACAGCTGGGAATGAGTAAATAGACTCTACAGAATAACCCTTCAAGTAGAAATGAAAGAAAAAACAGAACCAATAAAGTAAATTTTTGATTATATACGGGAGTAAGGAATACATGACGATCACATTTAAACAAACTTTACAGCCATAAGAGTATCACAATGCAAACAGGAGTGACAAATTTTGATGTACAAATGAACCCCACTATGTTGTTCCCTCTCCCCCACCAACCTTCCTTGACTTGCTTGGCTCAATTGATGCATTCCGTTTCAAACATTTCCAAGCAGCAAAGGTTTTATCCAATTCCAGAAACAAATAAACAAAACACCAAATTACAGTGAGAGACTAGGCAGTGTCAATGAAATTGCCCGATCCCAGACTTGAAACAAAAATAATTTATGAAGCAAATGAACAAAGTAACCCAAGATAACCCGGTATGAAAGAATGAAGTCCCCCACCCACCCCCAAATTAAGTTGCATAGTTGTAACGATGATGAATATATATAACAGTAACACCCTTATTATTGTTGTTCACCTCGACATCCTCATGAACATGAACATGAACACGAATTGCATTTAGAGACTGTTGTTCCTTGAAGTCACTCTGCGATGGGTTTGGTCTTTGACCTGTAGAGGAGTTTCTTCTTCTTGGATGTTTGGTTGTCTATGGTGAGTACTACCTTGCCAGCTTCACCAATTTTGAAACCGTGACTGATCACGGTCTCATCTGCGGGAGCAATTTTCCTGTTCTTCTGCACAATGACAGTGTATCCATCCTCCGCTGCGGGCACAAATTCAGCTCCGTAGCTCACATCCCAACCCACCACTCGGATTTCCCAAACCAGGTGGCTTTTCTGCAGGTGCAGGAACATTTATTTATCAGTATCATAGTCTCTTCCTATTAAAGAGGAAAAAAAAGGAAAAAGAGAATGATTGGTCACCTCAGAAACTGGGAACTCGACAGCATGTTTGGTTGCGGGTTTGATTGTGACCTCCGTAACAGAATCAAAAGTGGTGAATTCCTGTTCACCCTCTCTGCTCAGTCCACCGTATTGAATGGGCACCAGCTCCGGAGCAATATATCTGTCCATCAATCATCTCAATGAGACCAAATAATACATCGATGGGGAAGGCATATAAAGAAAGATAATGAGACAAATGATTTACTTGAAAAGGGTTTCGGCAGACTTGGATGGCCCAGCAAACACAAATTTGCTCTTGGTCCTCTGTGTGAAGAACGGACTGATCATCCTAGAAAAGGCAAGGTACCACCAGGGAACATTGATAAATATCTGCACAGATAAAAACAATTCAATAAGTGAGAGAACGATGGAGTGAAAATTGAAATGATTATTAAAAAGTTAAGGAGTTGAAGGGGGTACCTGCTTGGCCACAAATTCAGGGTAGTTATCCTGAAGCAATTGAAGGGCCTGATTGGTGGCCTGCCTGAGGTTACTCTTGCCGAGTCCCGGAGAGTTCTTGAGGTCGTTGACCTGCACAATGGTGGAGATGGCAGTGGGAGAGAAGTCGAGGCTTCTCACGCTCTTCTCCAGCACCTGAATCCTCCACCTGATGAACTTGTTGCGCTTCTCCTCGTCCGAAAAGGTCTTGTTGTACAACTCCTTATTCTCGAACTCACCAAAGACGTTGTAATTCACGGGGTGGCCTTGTTTGTCGTGTCCCTCAGTGAACACCACCTTGTCCCAATCAGTTCCGAAATCTTCCAGGACCAGAGCGTCGATTCCGAATTCCTTCCTCCAACGCACGGTGTTCTTGAGCATGGTGAAGGCATCCTTTACCTTGAAATCCCTCGCTCTCAGAAACTTTAGCAGAATCACATCGCTCCTCTCATCCGCCAGCAGCGGAATTCCCCATATCTCAACTTCCTCCGGACCAAGTTCCTCTTCCACCTCCTTCGCTTCTGTCGCTTCAACCACCTCCTTCTCTTCTGTCACCCCTTCTTCCTTCTTCTCTTCAGTTACTTCTACTTCCTTCTTCTCTTCAGTTACTTCTACTTCCTTCTTCTCTTCAGTTACTTCTACTTCCTTCTTCTCTTCCGTCACTTCTACTTCCTTCTTCTCTTCTGTCACTTCTACATCTTTCTTCTCTTCTGTCACGTGTACTTCCTTCTTCTCTTCCGTCACTTCTATTTCCTTCTTCTCTTCTTTAACTTCAACATCCTTCTTCTCTTCTTTAACTTCAACATCCTTCTTTTCTTCTGTCACTTCAACCTCCTTCTTCTTCTCTTCTGTCACTTCTACTTCCTTCGTCTCTTCTTTAACTTCAATTTCCTTCTTCTCTTCGGTCAATTCAACTTCCTTCTTCTCCGCTTCTTCTGCGGCCCCTTCCGGCTCCTTCTCTGCTTCTCCCGCTGCCACTTCAGGCTCCTTGACGGTGTCTGGTTTCTTCTTCTCTGGCTCTGGCGTGGGGGGCTTGGGCGCGGTTAGCTCACGCTTGTTGAGCGCTTCTTGAACAAGCTTCTTGAGTTCATCAAGGGCTTTCTTCTGCGCCTCGGGGAGGTCGCCGACGACGTTGGTCTCCTCCTTGAACGAAACCGATTCAGAAATCTTGTCTTCGACAGCGGCCTGGACCTTCTCCTGGGTTTCAGTTTCAGGTTGAGGTTCAGGTTCAGGTTGAGGTTCGGGTTGAGGTTCGGTGGTAGGTGCGTTGTCGAGAGGGACAGGGTCGACAACTGGCGGCACTTCCTGAGGGGGAGGTGGGTTTTGGGTTTCTTGGGCCATGGAGTAAGCAGGGTGGTTGTTGTTGGTGGTGGTGGTGGTGTTATTGTCGTTGATGAAGGGTTGAAGGGTTGATGGAAGAAAAGAGAGGAAGATGGATGGATGGGTGGGTGTGAAGAGAAAGTGATTATATTATGTTACGCTGTTTGATGCTTGAAACCAGTCTGTCATGCCAGCAGATACACCACTTTCTTTCTCATTTCGTGGGTCCCTTCTCTCCTTAATCATTCTTCTCTCTCTCTCTTTCTCTCCATAGATTGGATATTACCGCACCCAATCCAAACAATCTATTCTAAAACTTACCAAAGAATAATTTTTAGTGCCAACCAATCACACCTTCATTTTCAAATTAATAATCATAAAATCAACGTACACATGAACATTCACTTCTCTCCTCTCACAAGTAACATTGCTTCTAACCTAATCAATATTCAATGCCGTGATGTTCCTAACGTCATTTCAAAAGCTACTATTTTCAATCCAAATTTAAACTCTCGAACTCTCTCTCTACTTTTCAAAAATCAAATTAAACACATTCAAATCTCTAAAACCGTTTCTCTTCATTCAAACACAGCGTTGAATTGAAGGAGAAGAAGGGGATCGACGAGGCTAACCTGAGGCATGATGCCACAACAACACTCAATTTCAAACTTCATAAGCCATCCCAAAGCTAAAGTTGCAGAGAAGGCCAAAACCATCAATCAGAATCCTCTTTCTTTTTTTCTAATCTCCTTCCTCTTTGCTACTTTTTACATTATTTTAAACCTATTCCCAATTCTCACAATTATTAAAAATAAAATATTCTTTTAAATAAGTTTTGAAAAACACATATTTATCGTAGTTGTATTGCTATCTCTGTCGTTTAGGGAATAACTTGAACGACAAAGCAGATTAGAATGGTTGACTTTATGATCAAACCACTGTTGAAGATGGTGGCATCCAACAATACTAGCTCTCAGCCCACCATTTTTATCAAATTCAACATATTTTATGTTTTAATTTATCTTAATGTAAACAAAACAAGTCTTTATAACTCATTTTTTTCTCTTTTTATGACAAATTTAATCATTATACAGTATGTATGATATTTGCATTTAATTACTAATTATTTTAAAGTCATGAAAAAGATTGTTATAACTTTACTTGTTCATAATTAGTAACGACCAATAGCAGACCGGCATCAAACAAAAAATAGCTGTCCAAGAAGAAAATAAGTTGTATAGTTTAAGAAGTTCCATCGAAAATGTATTTTTACTTTTGATTTTTTCAAATTCGATACTCACATGACATGAAATTTTATCAGTGAATAACTACAATTAATACTTTTCAATTTACAATAACTCATCCATTAATATTAAACAACAGGAATTCTCTATTTTTTTTTTTTACTTCTACACTAAACTTGTCTTCCTAATAAAATTTTCGTGATAAACAAAGATGATAGATAGCTTTTTATAAGAAAAGAAAATAATCTGGCAAACCTGTTCAAAGAGCCAGAAATTAATTATTTCCCTTTTGAAAAAAATGATCTTATATAATTGAATCAAATATCATATACACGGCTGTAGTCTAACATACAGCGTGATTATACAACTTCAGTATATCCAATTAATTTACAGAACAATATGCTTTTCTGTCATTTACCACTAAACAAATACATTATTCTTTTTTGGTAGACGCAAATATAATAGTTTACTCACTCAGTATCTTTATTGAAAAGTCTATGCCAGTGCAAAAATAAAGTTTGTAATGAAGGATTCAATTTGATTTTTCATATCTTTTATTTTATTTATAAACTCTATGCCAGTGCAATTAATGTTTAAAACAGCTGTGCATAATATATATTCAGAATTATTACAACACAAGAGCGGCTATTTAAATTTATACTGGTAAAATATTCGCAATATATATTTAATAGAATTTTGTTATCATGTTAAAGTTAAAATAGAAAGATTGAATTGTGATATTTAATAAAGAAGGGAATGAGAAGAAAGACGATATCGTGGACACAGGCTGTGATTGAGCGAGAGAAGGAAAATGAAGAATTATTGTGAGAAAAAAAGCAAAAGAATGATAGAAAGAGAGTGGTTACGTGCCAAACACCAAATTCTACGTGCTTATGCTAAGCAAAAACCCATTAATATTTTTTAATGAATACCTCTGAAACTAGCCATCGTCTAATGATTATTAATGTATTAAAATACAATCTCTCTCTCTCGTTTTCAACTTTCTTCTCTTGTTTTTTTAGTACGAAATGTATTTGTTGCTTTTCTCACCTTCGTTCACTATTCTGACTTTTCCTTTCCCATCAAATCACTTTCATTTTTTTAGTTTAACCCTTGCAATCAATTAATATCACAATTTTAATCTTATCATCTCGTCTAACCCATTTCTTAACACGCAACCCATCATCCAACACAACCCATTATTCATACCAGTCATCGGAACCCAATTTAAACGTAATATTTGAATATATTTGGTATGTTAAGGTATAAATTTTAAATCTACTAAAAAATTAATAGGTAAAGTAAAGTTTGTATTTATTTATATAATTTAAATTAATTTTTATCTCTAATTGATACTATATTTTGAATACACATTTTTCACTAATGTAATAATCCCCATAACTTAAAAAGACAAAAAGTCACAAAATAAAAGTAAAAGATAAGTTTGCAATCAACTTTGTTGATATTCCAAGAATTGTATACAATATATTCTCTTCCTTAAAAATTAGCTTCTAAAAGACATGGTAAATGTATAGAAAAGATAGTGTAGGAATTAAATTAGATTAAATTTGTAATTCCAGACTATAATATAGGAATATTTCGAAGTTGTAATGATACTCCTTGTCGAGTAGGAATATGAAGATTATCGATGCCCAACTTGTGAACAAGGAATTGAAATTGTTACTTCTTGAAGGCCTTTGTAGAAGTACATGCTAGCCATAGGTTAGTGAGTACATGAACATTAGTAATGTTTTCAACTGATGTCAAACAAAATGGGTCAACCTCAATATGCTTTAGTGCATGCATGAAAAACACGATTTGAAAAAAATGAGAAAATTTGTTTAACTATTGTCACAAATAGATACATAGATGTTAAATTATTAACACTAAGAGCCTAAAACAATGATTTAGGTTAAGTTATAACTAACAATGACCCTTTAGTATGACAAAAAATACTAAGGTACTTCCTACTCCTAAGAAAATACCCCAACATAATAAAAAAACCCACAAAAGAACAATAAGAGAGGAAATGACTTAGACTGAACCGCAAAACACTGTCCTTGGAAAACAAAATACCTTAAGAAGGTATAAATAGAACAATAATTATTAGATACTACCCTGAGACTTAGCTAGTTACCCATGAGAAGGTACTTTTCTCTAAACTTAACTTCAACTCTCCCTTTTGTAACAGTGAAAATGATGTATATTTTTTTTAAATCAATCCTGTATATTTTGAAGTTGATTCTCCAATTTAGAAGTCCAAATACAGCAACAGGTACAATCAATTAGAGGGTTTATATGTACAATCAAGATAGAATTTTCACCCCATATAGTTTTTTTTTCACTCCATGAACATGATAGAAGAGTTGACTATTGTCGCCTGATACCTTTGTTATTGTAAATATAAGATTTAGCAAAGCAGGTGAAGAGGGCCAATCCCATGACACTGAGAGCAGCAAGTAGCCAGTAAAAGTAATTAAGATGCGCCTTGTTCAGATTATTAGCAAACCAACTGTCTTCTCCGTCTTTACCTGTCACTTTCTCTATCACAGAAATCAGAAAGCCGCTTATAAAGCTCCCAACACCAAATATGCTCAAGTACAAAGCAAGACCCATGCTTCTTAGTTCATTTGGGACCTGGTCATAGAAAAACTCCTGCAGACCAACCATGGTAAAAACTTCAGAGATTCCGAAGAACATATATTGGGGAATTAACCACCATATACTCATCGGAACAGTTGCATTAGGTTCATCAACAACACCAGACTCCTGAGCCGTTTTCAATCTCTTGGTCTCAACAAGGGCTGCAAATACTACAGTGATCACTGATAAAAAAATGCCAGTCCCAATTCTTTGCAGCATTGTTATGCCTGAGGGTTTGCCAGTGATAGCTCTCGCCGCTGGCACAAATAAGCGGTCATAGATGGGACTGAAGAGAACGATGGCCGCAGTCGTAAGTGTTTGAAGAGATGCAGGGGGTATATCAAAACCGGGTAATAGTGTTCTCTCCAAAGTAACCCCTTGCTTAGTAAAGAACGTTGGAACTTGGGCAAAGACCACAGCATAAATCAGCGTTGTAGACCAAATGGGAACCAACCTTAGTACTGCTTTAGCTTCTTCCACTTCACTTGGGCTACAACTCTCCTCTTCTATGGAATCCTCATCCTTTAACTCTAATAACGCTTTGTTAAGGAACCTGTCAATGTGTAAAACACTGTAAAGGAACTTGCACAGAGCGTAAAAACAAAACTCAAATGGGATTAAGAATGTCAAAACAAAAAGACTCCTAAACAATCAGAAATTAGCATGTGATTCTCACTCGAACTGTTCAGAACTTTGATGAGGAAGCATTCCATCACGTTCTGCTTTGATAGCTGTGGTTGAATGGGTGGTTCCCCGATTTCTTATAGCAGCGACAAATACACGGCCAATTCTGCGAAAGGGCCTTTTGTCTCGCTGCTGAATGGTAAACCTGTATGTCATTGTTCCTAACAAGAAAACAATTAATGCAACAATCATGACAGCGCAAGGAATTCCAAATCCAAGAACCCAACTAAGGTTGTCCTGAATATAGTTCAAGATCGAAATAGTTGCCAAGCATCCAGCACACATAGTGAAATACCACCAATTAAAGAACGTGCTTCTATCTTTGTGCTCCTTTGGATGTTGTTCATCAAATTGATCTGCTCCAAAAGCCTGAACACAGGGCTTATGTCCACCTTGCCCAATGGCGATCAAATAAAGAGAGATGAAAAACAAAATTATTTGCCAGCGAGGAGAGCATGATTTCAATTCATTGTCGACTTGACACTCAGAGTTGGAGAGAGAAGGAAGCAAAGCTGATAGTGTTAACAGTCCAAGACCCTGTAATTTATATAAAGCCATGGATTAACATCAAAACAATGTAAGAACACATGTTTCACAATGAAAATCCCCTCTTTTTTTCTTCTTTTCGTTCACAAATCTAATTGTGTCAATTTAAATCATCGTATCGAACTTTTATTTAATTTTCCATTGACTAGCAATTCAAGCTAGCTGAGAAAAACAGAAACATACTGGAAATGAGTATAATCAATCACCATATCAAACTATAACCTATTATTTAAAATAATTTATATAAAATGCATAAATAATAAAGAATGCATAATCTTTTCTTTAATTGAGTCGTTCAGGGGAGAAATAAATTTCAATGATTTGGCTCCTTAAATTAATTGAAGTTCCTGTTCAAACACAGAAGTGAAGTAGAAGCTACTCAAGTCCAAGCAGCTAGATGGTAATAAGAACAGTTTTTTTCTTTTTCTGGTCTTGTTACCAAAACACCATTGAATTTAAATCTACCACAACATATTGTTATTAATTTATGAGATGGGAATCTAATGAGGGACTGGGATATATCTGTTCTGAAGACCATGTTACACTCTCAAATCTATTTAAGAGAATATTAAAACCACATTTAAGAATATTCAAATATGCAGGTTTTATCCAGCTTATTGGTTTGAAAGCATTCCTTGTGTTAAATCGTAAAGTTGCATGAATTTTATATAGATTTTAACACTAAAAAGTAAAGTTAAATGTTATCTTGAAATTCAAAACAAATAAATAAGAGTATAAAATATGCAATAAAAATAAAAGTATTTTAAAAATATTCATATATTTATTTGTATGATAATTGAAAACTCTAATTATATTCACTAACTAATACTTGGGAATTATTACAATTAATAAAGCCTGTTAAATAGTCCTAACTCATAAGAAAAAGTTGACCGTCTGTATAATGAATAACATTTGGAATTGATGAGCATGAAACTGTATGCTCAAGATAGTCAAAATTCCGATCGTTGTACACCTAAGATGTTACTGTCAATGATAACTACATTCCAATCATTTCATTACTTTCACTTATATTTTAATGATAAGATAATATAACTTTTAAGGATTAAGATATTTTTTTTACTATTTATGTTATGGATGAGTACTTAGAGGGAAAAATGATTTAGATCATTGCTCATTATTTTAATGATTTATTTATTACATGATTACAATAAAACTAATTAACTTGTTATTCTATTAATTTAGATATTCACTTGTTTTTTATTTTAACTGTTAAATTTAGTAATGAATATAAATTACTGAAATTTATTAAGCATGACAGTTAATTTTAAATAAAATGAGATTCAAATAAGAAACAGCATATATCCTAGCATATGATGATAAAATTCGAATTCAAGAAGTTAAGTACAGGTGTCAACAGAGCCTAATTAGAGTCATTTGGGCTGACTGACTGATGAGCTCCGAGCCCAGTCAGAAATGATTTAAATGAAATAAAACCAAATATATTGGGAAGAATCATTACTATCATCAACTAAACTATTAAGAAGTGGGGTTTGTGAATATGAACAAATGGCGAATTGAAAGGTAGAAAAATAATAGGGTTTAGTGGGTGGTTTTGTAATAATTTGTTTTAACACATCTTATTATTAAATAAAAAATAAAAAAATGAACAGGAGTGAGTGACCAGAATGTAGACGAGGGAAGCGAGTACGATGGTCCGGTAGCGGCCGAGACGAGAATCTGCAAGAAAAGCCCCGGCGAGAGGAAGCAAGGAAGCAGTTCCCGACCAAACGTTGACGTTCTCTGCGGCGGCGGCGGTGCTCTGATGAAGAGGCCCCGTGAGATACGATATCATGTTCCCCTGAATCCCGTAATACGCAATCCTCTCCGCCACTTCCACGCCTGATTCCATTTTCACACATGTTACGCTCCTTCTTAATTCAACTATAATCAATCACTGCCTTACCTTACCTATGATAAACCAAGCGGATCTCCACGACCCAGATTTGGATCTTACGGCGCATCCACCTCTGTAGTCAACCGCACCAACCACCACATCGTCCCTCTCCTCCTCCTCTTCTGCTACCACTACTGCTTCTTCCAACTCATTCCCCATCCTACTAATCTCTTAACCTTACTTTCTCACCCTTTTCTTCTCCCCTCTTCCTAATAAATACCACTCTCTCTCTTCTACACCTCTTCCAATTTATCACCCTCAATAAAAATAATCTAATTCATTTTAGTCTAAAATACCTAATCATTCCGATAACAAAGACAAAAAAAATATTGAAAGACAAATAATTGATTAAAAAATATATATTTGTCTTCTTTTCATAATTGATTAAAACAATAAATAGAAATGCAAGGGCAAAGTTCAATTTTTGTTTGGTATGGCAACTGAAGTACACATCTATCTGTTTGAGAACAAACCTGAATCAACGAAGTTATCTTGTGGGGGCAGTGGATATAACAAAAGTAGAAAATTAATATTATTTTCACATTAGGGTTAAAATAGAATATCACCTGTGAGAGAGGGTGAAGGTGAAGGGTGGGTCCCTGACATTGCAGAAGTTTGCTGATGAAGTGGATTGGATGAGAGAGATGGAAGGTGAGGTCCAATCCACTAGTCCACTAGTCCACTTGGAGAGAACAGAGGCTGTGTTCTGCTATGCTCTGCTCCACCACAGGGCTCACAACACAATCACTCTATCCTCTATAACAATCAACCACCAAGGATCAAGGTAAACCTGCAGAGGAGAGGGCCATGCAACCCAAATCCGCCGCCAGACTGCCCAGCTTCCGCTCTATTCCGGCCTCCTGGTTAGAATCAGTTCTTTTGAAAGAGGAGGAAGAACAAGAAGAAGAAGAGGAGGAACAAGAAGAAATCCAACAAGCTGAAGAAGAGCCCTTGACCTTTACCCAGCTGCTTTCTACAATCGCAGCTCCCTCTCCTTCCCAACGCTATGACACACAGGATTACCCTCCCACCACCATGTCCATGTCCATCCCCAATTCAATCGCACCCAAGGTGCTTTCATCTTCTCCCTTCTATTATTCCTTCTGTGCCTCATCAGCTCCTCTTAACGATGCATATGTGTGTTCAGGAACTTTATGCTTCTGCCCCCCACCTCAAAGTGGACAACATGTTCACGTTTGAGGACTCGGTACCCTGTAGAGTTCGGGCAAAGCGCGGCTGTGCTACGCATCCCAGGAGTATTGCCGAAAGGGTTCGCAGGACTCGTATCAGTGACCGCATCAGAAAGCTTCAAGAACTTGTGCCAAACATGGATAAGGTTCTATTTCCGTCTTATCTTAACATCATTATTTCATTTTTAAACCCCTTATCTGCTGCATGTATTTCACCATTCACACAGCTTATAGGAAGAAAACCCAAGCTTCCTCCAAAATAATGATATATATGACTGCTGGAATCCAAATTAAAAGGAACCGGTTGATTGTGCAAAACAAGCACGTCAGAAATAAACTTCAAGGGACTAGCATGATCTGTAATGATCACTGGATTGTGATCTTAACCAAACCTGCCCTGAATTTCTGTTATGCAGAAATAGTATCTAAACTCTGAAGAAAAGCACCATATCCGCTTAGCAACTATTTTCCTTTTAAAGACTAGGAATTCACTAAGCAATTTTTTTCTGAATAACCAGTTAAGGAAACAAAAGTAAAAACTATTATGAAAATGAACCTAATTATTGTGTCAATAACTCAGACCATTTCATAATTCTAAGTATCTAACAGAGTTTAATCGCTGCTCCTTAACGGCCGTGGGCACTCAATAACAAAACCCTTAAAGTTAATGTAGTTTTTGGAATTGATATTAGATAAATTCCTTAACAAAAGCCCCTCCTTCAAAGGCTGACCATCAGACATTGGGTTCGTTGCATGGCTGTGATATCATTTGTTACGAAAAGGCTAACGGACACAAAATTCCTTAACATCTGATTAAACCAACTTAGCCTCAGTTCTCAGATGTTAGCTTCTGCTATGCATTTCTCATTAGTTCTCCCAAGTTCTTCTAGACACTTGGATTCAGTTAAGTAACTCCTGAACACTTAAGTTTATCCTCATTCAGCCCTCATATACAGATCTAGTGTCTCTTATTTTGTTTTAGTGAGGACCTATGTCGGGAAGAGTCTTCTCTACCGTATATTTACCCTTGACTTTGTTGTCTTTCTACTTCATTGTGCTCCGTATCTCTCTTCCCTTCCATGGTTGGCTTTTTCGTTTGTTAACTGTATTACAAAACTTCGATTTTCGCAGAAAGCTTAATGATAGAGGGGCTCAGTTCGTCATGATACCCTTATTTCATTCGTTTCTTTTATCCCAGAAACCAATAAAATAACTGGCTCTTGGAATAATCCGGTTCATATACCTCAATATATATTATGCAGTGTCTGATTCATAATACTTCACTCCTGCATTTAGTTTTCTCCATCACTTTTTTGAGAGTGAAGTTTTCCTCTAAGGTTAAGATCCGTGTTTGGACTAGGGCACTCGATTGGATTCAAAACTAAGGATATGTTATGGTCATGAAAACAGCATACTCCCTGGTCCCCTGATGTAATGTGTTTTCCGGTATTATTGTCAAGTAGCATGGCTATTTGGAGTAAGCACTGCATACTTTCTGTGGGAACTTTAGGGTTGGCCTGCTACCTTAGGACCTGTTCACTCTACACGCTATTATACAGAGGTTTTTGGAGGAAATAACAAACAAGCTTTAAGGAGCACTGCTTATTTTGTCAACTATTGGTGCCCTCGTCTGGGCATAATACCGGAATTTCTTCACATCATTTCCAGCTGTTATTCTCTTGCTGGATGGATTCCTGTTCCTGGTAACATCATTGGTTAAAGCCAAAGGTTTACGGGATTTTTTTTTTATTATTTTGTAAAGTGACTAGGCTGCTTGTTAAGCTGTTTGATTTCTTTTCTTGTAGCTCTTTTCTCTCTGTTTCTTTGACGTTTTTGGTATGTACTCGTTCTACCCCACGTTATCTCTTTCTTCCTATCACGACCTTAATTCTTGTTGGGTAGTACAAAAGTAGCGCAACAGATACTTAACAATCCTTCAGAAGAATAAGTATTCAAACATGTTCGGAAAGATCCAATTATATAGTGTTAAATGTAAATATTGGAGTTCGAGTTTACTTTCATTTTAATGTTTCTTTGGGTGGTAAATCAGTTCGTAGCTGTGTTTAATGTGGCGTTTGCTTTTGTTGTAGCAAACAAACACTGCAGATATGTTGGATGAGGCGGTAGCATATGTCAAGCTTCTACAAAAGCAAATTGAGGTACACTTCTTTGTGTGGCTGCATATAAGCTTGTAACTTTAACATATAAGCTAAGCTTGTAAAAGTTTGTAACTTTAATTTCGCTCTGGAGCTTTCACTCAGTATGTTGATGATAATCTCTCCTTGCCCGTGAGGTTTCGACTAACTAACTTTCATGAACTGAGACTCTTGAAACACTGCAGGAACTGACAGAGCACCAACGGAGGTGCAGATGTATGGTTCAAGAATAAAATGCCGACAGTACATGCAGTGGTTGGCCGCTGAAGATTTATTTTATGAATTATCAGATTTTTTGGTGATCAAGCAGACACTCCGGATGCTAATTATATAAATTTTAAACTCTCTGGATACCATAAAGGGATGCTAATTATATTTTTTTAATATCGCTGGATAAATTAAAAGATGCATACAGACATGTTGGGGATGGCATAGGTAGTTTATTTAAAATATAGAAACTGTCCGACAAGCTTGTGAATCCTTGGCTACTTGTGAAGAAAATGGTCTGATGTATTTAAGATGCACCGTCAGTTAAATAATGTTTAACTCTTGAAAGATTGTCATTATCTAAAGAATTATGTCGGTCAGGAATTTTATCGGATGGCAGTGTAAATGTTTCTTGTATTGTAAAAATATTTTATTGAACTGTCCAATGAGTTAATAATTTGGTAACACTGACGAAATTAGTTATCATCGCTAATTTTGACTTTAAAAAAAGGAAATACTTAAACGCCTAAATGGAGATAATCATTTTTATGCAATAATAGACGATCTTATGCACATACTTGGTGAGACAAATTAAATATACTTCATTGCAAGGAGTGTTAAGCCCTAAACAGTCTATTCATAAACCTGAAACACACAGACGGAAGTATTTGCAAATATGAACACATGATAAAAAGAAGAAAAAGGATTACTACAAAAGGTAATTTGCATGGCTTAGCAAGGGGTGTGAAGTCGTTGAGCCAAATAAACGAGATGCCATGTGAGAGACATGAGATTGAGGATGTTTAGGAGAGAGGAATAGGAATTCAATTTCTTGAGCTTGTCGTTGAGCTTGATTATTCTTGATCTCACTGCATCCTGGTCTGCGCTGCTGGAAGGCTCACCTGTGCGTTGATGCTCTGTTCTGCCACGCTCACCACTTATATCTACTCTGCCTCTTCCTTCTTCCTTTTCTATTTTTATCCTTTCGAACATCAGCTGAACGATAAGGAGAAAAAAAAAAGTGAATCAAAACTTGGAAGAATGTGAAGATAAAAGAATGGATAAGAAATGCGAAGCGTACCTTGGTGGCCCGAGGCTCCAAGTAAAGAGAATTGAAGAAAAGAGTGGCCAGAGAGGCGAGAAGGTTATATGCTTGCAATGCGTGAGATTTGTTGGAGAGCAGAGTGTTTGTATTACCGAAGACATGACCAAATAGAGCCACCCCAACGCTATAAGCCATGGCCCTGAAATAAACAGGGTAGATTTTGCTCTGCACCACTGCGAACTGGTGCCTCGCCATGGCCCTCGACTGCACGTAGCTGGAGATAAACGTAACCCACACACACATGCCATAAGCAGTGGCAAACCCCAGCAAGTTGGCCACCCCCATCACCGAATTCAGGCTCTCCAACGATCCAAAACTGCTTTTTAATGCGTGTTTGAGGCGGCGCAAAGAATCCCTAGCTTCTGAGACGTTATGAGCCACATGCTCCTTCGCTGTTTCTACAGTGTCCTGCGCGTATTCGTGCACATCACGGGCTTTATCATGCACGCTTTCCTTTGTTTTTCCAAGTGCATCGGCAACACTATCACCCACTCGCCGCGCCGCCTCCTTGTTGGCGGCAACCTTCTCCTTCTTCTTCTGGAGGGCCTCTTGAGCCTTATCCTTGGTCTTCTCCATGGCATCCGCGATTCTTTGCTTGCATCTTCCGTAGGCATCGCAAACGAGCTCCTTAGGGGCATGCAGAAAAGCCGCATCTTCCGGTTGTGAAATGCCTTGACCGACGTTAGGGAGAACGGAGGCAGCCTCTCGGATCCCGTCTTTGGCGTTGTCTAAAACTTGGTGGTGATGTGTGGGTTGCTCTGGGGAGATTGAGATTTTGGTGTTGTGATGGCCATCTTGGTCGTATTCAACAACCACAACTCTATGGCCTTCTCTGACAATGGTGTTGGCTCCCTGCTTCTGGTGCGTGGCTGGAGCGGGAGACAGTATGGCCGATGCGGCCAGTGAAGTGATTACCAGACTCACCGCGAAAACATTCAACATTATTGTTGTCGGAAGTTGTTGGTTGGTGTGTTTTGGGATTGGTTGTTCCGTTTTAAGTGGCATTGGACTCGGAGGGGTTAAACCCACGTTGCATGCTGAAACATAATCAGGTGCTGCCACCTGTCATACCCCTTTGCCACTTGTCCATCTACCCCTCCTTCGTGTCGCCGTATAAGGACCTTGTTTGCTTCCACCCCTCTACACTTTCTCTTTTCCATTCTATTCCATTCTGTTCTCATCGGATATTTAACAAACACATCACCTGCACTTCAATCCATGCAAGGGATAACTATAAGTTAACTTTTACAGCATGACTGATACACAAAATTTAAACGGCATATACATTTGAGAATATAAGGAATGAGAGAGGGACATGAAAAGTTGCGGATTGCATTGAGTTGATAGTACTTTGTCTTCGGTGTCAGTGATTTTTGACTGCTTTGAAAGCTATGTCGCTCTGGATTTATCTTATAAGACAACATTTTAATCACGCAATACAGCAAATGAAAGTGAAAGAGAGGAGATTGATATCATAATGATGCACCGCTTCTCTTCTGAATTTGACCTGTAAATACATCTTAGCTATTATACACCGCCTTTTTAGATTCGCTTAATCACTACATACATTACACATAATTACAACAACGTAATATCACGGGTTTTTTTAACCAATGTAGGAAATTACTTATTTGGGTTATTTTAAAAAAAATTATGAAGAGGGTTATGTCGTATCAACGAGGTATGAAGTTGTTTAACGAGTTTTACGAAATCGTGGAAGAAAACGACTCAATGGTTAATATAGAAGTTGTATTACTCAAACGCGATTTTTATTATAATTAATCTAATTAACTATTACTAAATCAAAGTCTTAGAAGGATAGAATTATTTCCTTCTGAAGTCTTCTAAGAATGACACAACTTCTTTTAAAATTCAGAAACATTAAAATCGTGCAAATGAATAAATAAAATAGTTAAATAAAAATAAATCATTTCAAATGTTTCAATTTCTTTTAAAACGATTTTTATGTACTGTAATTGAAATAAATATAAATTCGACTCTCAAACAATGAATAACTATTTCATTGATTATTCTAAAATATCTAGGAGTTATGGATTTTATGATTCCAAATTAAAGATAATTTTTTAGAACAAGAAATTATCAATTCTTTTAGGATATTGAGTGTGGAAAAAAATATAAAATTAAAAATTTTGTTATAGAAGAAGATTTATTGACAATTTCAATCTAATTGATGAAGCAGGTTTAAATTTTTTACAATGACAAACTCAAGATCCTTAATATCTTTGTTGAGATTCATCGGAGAAAGGAGAAGTGTTATTCTAAATCATTATGTGATACTTTTTCAAGAAAATTAGAAAAATAATCATAAATCTTTGGTATTGTTTACTTTGGAAGCTAGAACTCCGTTACAGATTTGTTTTTAAAAAATTAGAAGTGAAAGAGAAAAAGGATATTTAAACTGGTTTTAATCTTTAAGTCTTGAACAATATGAGAGTATTGGACATGAACCTTTGAACAAGTGGCAAGATATGAGTGAATTGAAGAATTTTGATATATACTTTATAAGGCTAGAATATGAGAAGATTCACTTAAGAAAAATTCTAATGCTAAAATCAGTAACATAGTTAAATCTTGAATAAAAAAGAATAAATTTGAGATAGTGTACATATTTCCTATTAAATACTATGTGTATTTATAATATTTATGTGTTGTGTGACTCTTATAATTAAATTGATAATATCAAAATAGTATCAAATAATATCATAATTTATCATATGATAATTAATCAAATAATAATATAATTTTTAATGTAACATTTTATCTAATATATCATATATTCTGTAAATATATAATATAAGAGAATATTACTATCTAGTATAAAAATTTAATTACACAGTATTAATATATATGAATATTTGTATCAATAAATATATTTTAAAATATTTTTTAACCATTTTAAGTCAATAAAATTAAATAGGTTTTATTGAACTTTATCACTTAACATACTTAACATATTTGTTTATATTTTATAATATCTTTTAACGATTTTAGATACAGTGATTAATTGTTCACTTGTTGAACAAAATATTAACAAAATATAATATTATGAATATAAGGAAGCCGAAGCAGAAAAGGTTTAAGAGAGATGAATTGTAAAATAACATTTACAGAGGTAAATAAGGGACGGAGAAGAATAAACAAATAAAATAAAGGGTTAAATATGTTTTTAGTCCCTAAACTATTGGTTGTTTCTCGTTTTCGTCTCTCTTTCAAAGTAAAATATAATATTATGAATAGGGACGAAAACCAGAAACCATCAATATTTTAGAAACTAAAAACATATTTAATCTAAAATAAAATGAAAAAGGGGAAAAGAAGTGAATGCGAAATTGACATGCACGTTTGTAAGTGGAAAAGAGAAAAGGTTGTTTGGTACCATGCATTTGCATTTATTTGCATATGCATATGCCAAAACAAAACCTCCCCACTTTGAACCTTCTTTTGATCTCTCAGAGCAAAAGCAAAAGCAAAACGTAGCCTCCAGTATATACTACTTACCATCACCACCAAAACCAAAACCACCATTATTGTTTTGCCCAACTTTAGAAGAAAGCAGACTTAACTCCTTTGAAAGGGAGATTTCTACTTTTTCTTCTTTCAAATTATTTATTAAACATTGCACTGCTTGAATGTTTTGGTAGCTTCTCTATGGCCCACCACCATTATTATTTTAAAATCATCTACCCAAACTTTATCCCCATCTTCAACCCCACCCCCTTCATTAATAATCCAAAACCAACGACACCCCATTATTAATATTTATTTAAATCCACACAACAGCTAACACCTCCTCCTCAGTAAGTAAAAAAACGCAGGTGTGGATGTTTTTTTTGGAGTAAGTTAAATAAACAAAGATTAGGATGTTGTTAATATTCTGTGATGACATAGAAAGTAGGGAGCCAGTAGAATATCTCCCCCAAAGAAAGGCACATGAAAGAAGGGGCCACCACACCAAACAGCAATAGCAATAGCAGTAGCAATTGCAATAGCATGTCCAACACACATCCCATTTATTTCTCTTTCTAACAATTTTTTCTGTCTTCACACTCCAAATCAGCAGAGCGTATGCATATCTCATCACCTCATCACCGCTCACACCCGGTGTCCTACTCCTATTTCCTCACTCAATATCATAATTGAATTATTGGAGCATCACAGCACCATGAACATACTGGTGGTAGAGGTTGTGGATGCAAGCGACCTCATGCCCAAAGACGGGGAGGGCTCAGCCAACCCCTTTGTGGAGGTGAAGTTTGATGAGCAGCAGCATACTACTGAGACAAAGCACAAAGACCTCAATCCTTATTGGAACCAGAAGCTGCTGTTCCACATCGATAACCCGAGAGATCTTGCGTACAAGACAATTGAAGTGGTTGTATACAATCGTAATGATCGGAACCACAACAATTTCCTTGGAAGGGTCAGACTTTCCGGTTCTTCCATCCCTCTGTCGGAGTCCCAGGCCCGTGTTGAACGCTACCCACTTGAGAAACGTGGCCTCTTTTCAAACATCAGGGGTGATATTGCTCTCAAGTGTTATGCGCTGCATGATCCTCTTCCTTCTCATCCTCCCCCGCAACCTCAGGACGCCGGCGGCGATCCTGCTGCTGCTTCTGAACAGCATCGTCCTCCTCCCCCTGCCCCGGCGGAGGAGGATCAGCACACTCCCTTGCAAGAAATAAACCCCAACATGGTGGCGGAGGAGGAAAGCGTGAACAGTGAAGGGGAGGAAAAGAAAAAGAAGAAGATGAAAAAGAAAGAAAAGGAAGTGAGGACTTTTCACTCTATACCTTCTGCGGCTGCTGCAGCGAAGGCACAGTTCCAGTCACAGTCCCAGGCGGCAGCGGAAACGGTGAGGAGGGCTGACTTCGCAAAGGCTGGACCACCGAACGTGATGTTGATGCAGATCCCAAAGCAAAACCCCGAGTATGGACTGGTGGAGACAAGTCCTCCTCTGGCGGCTCGCTTGCGGTACAGAGGAGGGGACAAAATATCAACCACCTACGACTTGGTGGAACAGATGCATTACTTGTACGTTAATGTTGTAAAGGCAAGGGATCTCCCCGTGATGGATATCACGGGCAGCCTTGATCCTTACGTGGAAGTCAAGCTCGGTAACTACAAGGGCCTCACCAAACACCTGGACAAGAATCAGAACCCCGTTTGGAAGCAAATCTTTGCCTTCTCCAAGGAGAGGTTGCAATCAAATTTGCTTGAAGTGACTGTGAAGGACAAGGACATTGGCAAAGATGATTTTGTTGGGAGAGTTCTGTTTGATCTGACGGAGGTTCCTCTTCGGGTGCCCCCAGACAGCCCCTTGGCTCCTCAGTGGTACAGATTGGAGGACAAGAAGGGTCAAAAAATTCACAACAATGGCGAAATCATGCTTGCGGTTTGGATGGGAACACAGGCCGACGAGTCCTTCCCGGAGGCGTGGCACTCCGACGCTCACAACGTCAGCCACTCGAACCTTGCAAACACCCGCTCAAAGGTATATTTCTCACCCAAGCTTTTCTATCTTAGAGTTCAAGTCATCGAAGCTCAGGATCTTGTTCCTTCCGATAAAGGAAGAGCCCCGGACGCTGTTGTTAGAGTACAGCTCGGGAACCAGATGAGATTCACCCGTCCTTCTCAGATGAGAAGCACCAACCCAGTTTGGAACGACGAGCTCATGTTTGTGGCTGCCGAGCCATTTGAGGATTTCATCATTGTGACTGTGGAGGACAAAGGAGGTCCTAGTGCTGAAATATTGGGAAGGGAGATCATATCAGTTAGAAGTGTTCCACCCAGACACGAGACCAGCAAGCTCCCTGATTCTCGTTGGTTCAATTTGCACAGGCCCAGTGCTGTCGGTGAGGAAGAAACGGAGAAAAAGAAGGAGAAATTCTCGAGCAAGATTCACCTAAGAATGTGTCTGGAGG